GGTGGCCGGTGCGAGGAGGGAGACGCACGGGAAGATTTGGAGGAATGTGCTGTCGGCAGCGCTCACGAAGGAGCAGAGGGACCTGTCATGGCTGGCTGTCCGGGACAAGTTGGAGACGCTGGGTTTCTTGTACAGCCGCCAAATGGCGCATACCCCCAAGTGTCCGAGGGGCTGCAACGCGGACGAAACTGCATCGCACGTGATGGTGGCGTGCCCTTTGTGCCCAGGAGGTCTGGAGGCGGAGCAAGCCGTTGCTGGCCCGTTTCGCGCTGTCGAGGGTGACGGCACAGGACGTCATGTGGGGAGAGCTGCGGGGGTGGGGAGGGAGGACAGGGACCAGGTGTGGGCTGTGAGAGGAGCGACGAAGGAGGCGCTGTGGAAAGCGCGAAAGAAGGAGCTGGAGGGGTCTCTGATGTCCCCGTTGGAGACATGTTATGTTGCGAGGAGATTGTTGGAAAGGGTGGTGGAGGTGGGCCGGGTGAAAATGGGGCGCGATGCTGCAAGGGAACGATGGAAGTGGCCGCTGCCCAGGGTGGGCTAGGGCGGCCGGGGTGGGGGGGGGGCCTCGCCGGCGTCCGGGAGTGAAGGTGTGCGTGACTGGAAGGGGAGGCTGCCCCTCCAGTGCTGTGGCAGGGGTGACTCCGGTCCAGAGGATGGGTCGGTGGCCGAGCGGGGCCTTTATGGCGCGAGCGAGGGGGCGGCCCCTCGGTCTTTGCTTTGTTTTGTTTTTGTTGTCTCCGCTGAGATACTGAATACAATTTTAAAAACCGTATTTACCAGCGAAACGTCGTACTCAAACTGTAAATGTTGTGGATTCACTTTTCAACACACCGGTGGGCTAAAGTAGTGAACTAATTGTCTTTTGTCAACGTGACACTTTTTTTGCTGATTGGTCGTGTCGGGTGGTGGAGGGTTACGACACATTTATAAATAACGCGATCTAACCCAAAAACCTTTATTATGAATAATGTCCAACAAGTGTGCGCGCCGAGCAGAAGTGTCGTCATGTTCGCTTAACAAACAAAACACCACCAGCCTTGCTGGTGCAAAAAAAAAAAGTTTATATTTATGGCTGTTCATTTTAAGAGCACGGAGGAAAGTTCCCATGTGCACAAATAACGCTTTCGTCAGAACGCTGTGTTTGTTAGCCCCGTTCCCAGCTCGGCATGTTTTTTATCTCGTCAACCTTTAGCACCCGTGTGCAACTGTGTGCAACTGCATTCTTCAACCTGGGGGCTTTTGTGGCTCTCTGCAACGTTGTTCAGTGTCACCGCGTGAAGGGCTGCGGCCAGTTTGGTTCACTGAGCTGTCCGCTTCGTTTTTTACTGCCTATTAAGTTCGCAGTTCGGGCGGTGGGGGGGGAGCGCAGTGATTAGCGCACTGTCCCATGAACCCACACAATAAAACGTTAAGTTTGAGCACAAAGGTTAAGTTTACCTGTTACTATTTTTGTATTTTGCCAGGTAAGGCCCACTGAGCTATATAGTTCTTTTTCAGAAGCGACCTGGCTATCACAAATGATATCTAAACGATAAGTGACTTACCACGTGGAAATGTATAGGAGCCAAATACTCTTAAACGCACGTTTTTAAATGTGGAGGGGAAAAACCGGAGGACCCGGAAAAAAATCCACGCGAACACGGGGAGAGAGACACTGCAAACTCCAAATATACAACAGGCGTCAGGGTCGGGATCAAACCCACGACCTCCTGTATACCAGGCGAGGGAGTTAACGTCTCGCCACCGCAGCGTTGTGTTTGGTTTTCGGGCCACGGCTAACATCAGTGGTGAGTGATATCAGAAGCAGTCCTACCTCTAACCGCCCCTTTCACCGACTCGCACTGACCAGAGTGGAGAGGCATTGTCAAACAATTCCCCATGACTGACGCGACGTGGTTAGAAGAATACAAATGTTTTACTGTCGTACTAAACCACTGGAATTTCCACACCACTGGCTCAGAGAGCGCGGATTTAATGGACTTGAGCACCACCCATTTCTCGCTATCGCTGCGAGACGCTGTGACGGTATTAATTGCCCAGGAGAGATATTTCATCACATTAAAGTGCTTTGTTTTCAATGACACCATTCCCCAGCAGTCACAGTACAAGCAGCTTCAGTATGTGCAGTGTTGCTTCTAACCACTGGCCCGCTTTTAATTTCGCAATGTGAAGTGTTGAGAGAGGATCGACGCTAATTGGGGTCGCTCGCTTGTCAAAAACCCTTCCATCTCTGTATTAAGATCCCAATAATGGGAATGGCATAATCCCACAACTTTATGATCCTAATAACAAGACTCACTTGAAAGGATCACCGTAGTGACCCATAAACACACAGCTGTAGCGTAGTTGGCATGGGCCCGAGTTAATATATCTAATTGTATATTATTCATGAAGTGAATAAACAAAACTAAATACTCCTTTTTGTATTTATTTTCTTGTCCTTCCCCGCACGTCCGATCACTGCGGTTGGCTACGTACGGTGCGAAAGAAGTTTAGCATACATACGCAAAAACACGAAGGTGCAGCCATGACGGACTTGGTGCCAAAGCGTTTTCCGTTGTGACACCCCACTTTGGAATCTCCTTCCATCCCTTCTCTCAATTTGCTGAATTTACCAAACAGTAAACGCTCTTAAACTCACCGTTGATGTCAACTGCAGCCCCATTTGTAACGGTGAGTTGTAACTGTGATTGCAATTATGATGTGACAACTGTATGTGTGTGAGTGTGATTTAACCCGTTGTAGGTTTGTATTCTAAAATATTGCTGCTATTTTATTGTTCTATATTATGTCGTTTTGCTCTTCATAACTCATGGGGGTTCTTCCAGTTTGAATAAAATGTCTGTTAATGTGTAGCTGGCATCTCGCCAGCTTTTGCTTGTCATTGCATGCGTTTAGAGTATTTGGCTGCTATATATTTCCACGTGATAAGCCACTTCGTTGAGCGGCTATCAGTTGTGATCAGGGTGCTTCAGTGGGCCATTCCTGGTAAAAAAAACGGTATTCTCCATTTACCTGTTGTGGCCACACCTGCTGTGTGAAACAGAATCTCAAGTCATGTAACGTGAGCTGACAGCACATGGTCTAGTGACACCATAAGTGCAACAATTCCCCTCCTGAAATGTTGAATCCGTGGTCTGTTTTTGTTTTTCAAATATGTACTCATTATTGTTAGTTCGTCGGCAAATCCATAACAAAGCTTTATCCAGTCCGGGTTTTGCTTCATGCTGGTGCATGTGGGCATAGACGTAATGATCACTGTCAAAGTGGCTGTTGTTAGCACTCTGTTGCCTCTTGAACTTAAGATGTCGATTCGCTGGGTCGAAGAACATCAGTAATGATTTCAATTAAGCCACACGTTATGTACATATTGACGATTGGCTCCGTGTTTCGGGTGCGTCACTCACAATCTCAGGGAAGAAAGTTCAAGTTTCAGCGAGGAATCAACTCGGCCCATCATCCCTGGGGACCCGATAAAATAAATACTATTATGTGGGGAAACAACAGTCGCCCCTGTCATGGGAATATGGAATTCCCACCACTGGCTGAGTCCTGTCGGTGGAGATGAGTCCCACTCATCACATGTTTGAGCAAAGAAATGCAGTACACACCACTTTTCGAAGCAGGAAAATATCTTTGGTCCATTCATGAATATATTTTATTAAAATTTGTATCATATTCTTTATTTTTGTGAGTTATGCCACCGACATTAATTATGGACCAACATTAATTTATATTTTATCATCAGAGATGCCCAACACAGACATTATCGGGCACGAGACAGCTACCATATGCAAGGGTAAATGCCACAGGACACCTCAATGTAATTTACAATTATTTTGTCTTTTAAAAAATGTTGCCTTTAAGATCAAATTACTGTGGTGTGGTGCTTATTCCTGTTAAAGGCCAGAGTAAATTGTGCTTATTCGACATTGTTAAGGCAGGGGTCATTTCTAAACAACAGCCACTTTTGACCTTTCACAAATTGGTAGTCATTCGATCAGCCCAGGAGGGAAGATGAGCACGTGAGAAAGTGCAGTTCCCCTCTTGTGGTTGAGGCGGTTGAAGGGATCTTAGGAGTAGTTTACAGAGGCTGCTAAATCACACAGGGTGATGCACTACTGTCCGCTAGAGTTCAGAATGGAAATTAATTTGTCTCATAACATGACGCTGATAGCACAATTGAATATAACGCAGAGAAAAATAATCGTACAAATCTTGGGCTCGAAAGGAACCACCTTTCGCACATTTAAATGAAGATACAACACAATAAAATAGACAGCTTAGGTGGATCTGTGTCTGTTCTGTGTATCCTGGGCTGCCCTACACAGTGAAAACAAGGCATTTAAAATCACCTACCAGTAGCATCAACAAAAGCACACTCGGCTAATATCACTGCGGTGAGAGTGCCGTACCCCTGAACCACATAACTTGTTAATAATCAGCCATGGTCTATTCACTGCTGGATGAATGACTCCCCACGCCGTTGCCTATCTCTTGCGTTGCCACAATCCGGCTCGCTCCTGCATACGAGCCCATACCGTCCCCCATCCCAGTTACTCGCATCCGTAGTCAGCACGATGTCTTGAACTTACGTGTGTTATCTAACCTACACATTCTTCTTCCCGTCATCTCAATGTAAATCCCCAGGTTTTCTGAATTATTTACGAGTTTCCGTGTGTCTCATGCGTACGTCGTAGAGAGTGATATATCTATCGGATGAAAAATAAAAAATAAAAATTGCCCATGTCCATGCCTTGCACACCACCGCATCCACCCAGCATGGCTGTGGCTACGAGTCACGATGCCGACTGCCGTCTGCGAGCGACCCGGACAATACTCGGTGAGAAGCGAAGGCCTGAATTGGCGACGCGCAGCATCGTCACGTTTCCGCCACACATGAGCTCGTGTAACTTATTGCTTGGGGCGGGGTGGTTCCACCTTCGTCTTGTGAAGGGAAGGAAGGGGCGATCTCTCCGTCCATCCGCGTCCACCCTTTCCTAATTGGCGTAGACGTTCTCGGCGTCATCGTACTCCGTCAACTCGATGTCCTTGCTCGTGCACCTGTGCAGCGCGCTGAGCGCGCCGTCCCGGCTCAGCACCCCCTGCACTGCGGACAGCTCCCGCCAGCACGCCTCCACCTGGCGTCGGCCCTTCTCGTCCGCCGTCCCCTCGAAGGCGGCGCGCACGTGGTGGAGCACGGCGCGGCTCTGCTGCTCGGCGAGGTCGCGCGCCAGCGAGTCCGCCTCGTCGGCGAACACGCGGCGCTCCACGGCGCGGTAGCGCGCCACGAAGCTCGCCTCGCACTCGCTCGTCGGCGACTTGCACCGGAGGACGCAGACGGTGAGCGCCGTCGCCACGATGAGCCCGGCGAGGAGGCCCAGACCCACGAGCTGATGGGGGGGGGGGGGGGTGCCCGCGACGGTGACGGATTCCGTGTTAGGTTTCGCGGCGGTGGCGCCCGTCGGCGCGAAACGTCGGGCGTTGCGCCCCAAGAAAAAAACTCGCGCGCACAGACAGTTGCGACACGCACACACACAGACACACACACACACTACCCATGCACACACACACGACTCATGCGCACGCACGGCTCACAAGCACAATCACACTCGCATCTTTCACATATTTCCCCGTACAGCCTCGATATTTAGATGTATGAAGAAGATGTACGCTACCGCATGTCGATGTTCTGATGCGGTTAATGGTTGCACCAGTGGTGAGTGGGAGGGTGAGTGGATGGGTGGTTGAGTGGTTGGGTGAGTGGATTGGTGCGTGAGTTGATGGTGAAACCAGTGGTGAGTGCGTGGGTGGTTTGATGAGTGGGTGCGGGAATGAGTGTGTGCGAGTGAGTTGATGGTGAAACCAGTGGTGAGTGGGTGGGTGGTTTGGTGAGTGGGTGCGGGAATGAGTGTGTGCGAGTGAGTTGATGGTGAAACCAGTGGTGAGTGGGTGCCAGGACGAGTGGGCGAGCGAGTTGATGGCTCCACCAGTGTCTGCGAGGAGGAATGTCAAAGCCAGGAGGTGCGACATTTGGGTCTCGAATGAGGTGGGAGACGACAAGAGGAGGCCGCGCGGCTGCTGCGTGTTGCCGTGTTGCCTCAAACACGACGCACGCCGCGGCACTCCGGGCGAAATGGACGCCGTCAATTCGAATCCAGATACAATGCACAATCAGTGGAGCAGAGCCATAAATACCAAAGAACGCCGTTATCAGCACCTGGCAGTTCTCTACACCGCAGTGCTTTATGTTTCGGGCAGAACGAGGTATGTGCGTGTTGGCTACTCTTTAACTCGTTGCTTTGGGAGTTTAATTTGTTAAACAACTCGGCCGGAATTTGTTCCAGAAACTGAAGACTTTGACCTCCTTTCCAATATCGATCGAACTCACGACCTCCTGTATACTCGGCGAGGTAGTTAACATCTCGCCACCGTGGCACCCCAAGTCCGTGTGGTTAATGCAGTCTTGATGCCTTGCGAAAGGTTTATATATTCGGTGTTCGAACATCCTCAACACCTCCTGTTGGATTGCCAGAAAGGTTTAAAAAAACCTATTCTGATCGTTTCATCAGATAGATGTTGAGTCTACTCACCCCGCGTGCCTCCCTCGCAATTTATTCGGCGAATCAATTCGTGGGCCGCTTTTGACTTTCCCTTTGCCTCGACAGCAGAACAGCGAGTTAAATGTAAATCCACGCCTGCATAAGGATGTTTCATATTTTTTCGTGCGCGATTTCGCGGACAAGTAGGTCGCTCTAAATCAGTCTGTCCCCGCTTCAAATTGTTTTCAACACTTCTCAGAATTTGCAACAACGCCACAAGAAATGTGCTGCCGCCTCAAGGCTCTGGAGACCACCTGGAGAAGACTCCAGGCCACGCGTTGACAACGATGGCGAACACGTGGGAGACTCTTTGACTTTGTGAAGCTATGAACAATACATTTGTTATCACGTTACAGTGTATTATCCGTTTTTGCTTCCCATTAAAAACGATAGTCCCATATAAGTGTTACAAAAAATGTCGAAGCACCCTCTATATTAATTTCTTAATCGGCTACGGAGATTGAAAAAAAAAATCTGCACCAATCGCCCGCTTACTCGCATGCGCGCTCATCACTTGCACGCATTATTTTTCGTCCAGCAATTGGTTTACACCGAGCACAAAGACTGAAGCGACTCAAGTGACCTTCCCGAATGATCTATCCCCATGGTCAGCGTCCACCACAGGACATCTTCGCGCTCGGCTTCCCCCCCCTCCCCGCCACCAGCCGCCGCTCAGTGTCTTGTTTTACCTGCGACTCTGATCGTAGCGAGGCGAGGACCTCTTTGCGGATGCTCGCTTGCCGCAACACGTCGATGGCGTCCGACAGGAGGATTTTCTCGCACGGAATTTTGTGCAGCAGCTCAGCGACCACCTGGTAGTTGAGGTCAGCCATGCTGGAGTACTTCCACCAGTCGAAGCCGCCGGTACTCTGGCCGCACGCGTAGTACACCCCGCTCAGCAACGCCGCCACGGCCCACGACATCGGGGCCACCAGAGCTCGGGCGAAGACGACGAGAAGGGCTTCGCTCACTCGCGCTCCTGAATCCCTCTCACCGCCCTCGGCGTCGCCCTTTGCATTGTTCCTGCCGCAGCACGAGCGGCACGAGCCTCGGATCGCCCTCCACGTGTCCGCCTGCAGGAAGCAGCCGCCGAGGAACAGCAGCGCGCACGGCACGGCCACGGAAACGGCCGCCGCCGTGGTGTTGCGCCCCCCGGGTCTGCAGGGGCACACGAAGGCGAGCTCGCCGTACAGCACTTCGCCGACGATCGAGAGGGCCGAGGCGAGGACAGCCCACGCCAGGGTGCTCCGACGGTCCAGAAAGTCGCACGCGAGCCTCGAGACGCTGAAGGACATTGTCGTCGTTGTCGTCGTTGTTGTTGCTGCAGCTGTTGTTGTTGTTGATGTGGCAGCAGCAGCAGCCCTGCACGCCGATGGGAGCTGTCGGTTGTGCAGAGTTGGGTGGGTGGTGGGAGTCGTCTCGGTGAATGTGTGATGGAGAAGCTGCGTGCGGTGGTGGTGGCGGTGGTGTTTGTGGTGGTGTTGGTGGTGGTGGTGGCAGTGGTGGTGGTGTTGGTGGCGGTGTTGGTGGTGGTGTTGGTGGTGGCGGTGTTGGCGGTGGTGGCGGTGTTGGTGGTGTTGGTGGTGGTGGCGGTGTTGGTGGTGGTGGTGGCGGTGTTGGTGGCGGTGGCGACGGTGGCGACTCAGCTCAGCCTGGCACCCAGAGCTCCGTTGCGGCTTCTTTTGTGGAGTTTTAATTGCAGGGCGGAGGCTTGGAGGTGTGGGGCGACAACGCGAGGTGGGGGTCCGTGGGTGTCACAGTCTCGGCCGTGACGACGCCTGCCCTTTCCGTGAAGTGACCCGCGAGAGAAATGACAACGCAAACGCAATAGGAGCCCACGCAAGACGTCGTTTATATTAGGTTCGATCGCGTAAGTATCAATGTGTCGTTAAACCCGCCACCACCCGACACAGCCAATTAGTAAGGTTTGTCCCGTGAAGAATTCCGGCTGTCGCCTGATGAGGGTGATTGTGATTGCCGGCGAAACGTCGTACTCGAATTGTGGATTATTGTGGGTTTACTCTTCAGCACACCGGTGTGCTGAACTAGTAACTACACTATACTAGTAACTACTTCGCATGTTTTGTTGACGTGACAAACCTGTTGTGATTGGCTGTGTCGGGTGGTGGCGGCGATAACGACACATTGACATTTACGCGATCTAACCCAGTAAAAAGAAAACCCCTTTATGACCTATATATGCGAAACTTTTTTCGCACCGTACGTACAGCATTTGTACAAACAACTATTTTTATTTTCCAATCGCAAAAATATTTTATTTCATCATTTAAATCTTGCCGACAGCCAAACGTCGAGTCGCCAAGTCTCCCCGCTGTGGATGGAGGATCCGTGCCCATTATCCTGCTTGAGTATTTTTTTGTTTTAAGAAGGAAAAAGAGGGATGTTTCACAACAATTCTATTGACAGGACGTTAGAACGTTGTGCGTAGTCGCGAGGTCGTCTCACCATGACCCCCGGAAAAAAAACTATTTGTTACGATAGCTGCGGAGCGGCGACCTTTATACCACCTTGCAATGGTACAGCTGCGGGTCCAGCCTACACGATCTGTAGGCGTTCACCCCAGGGTTCGTGATGGAACGAAAACTCTTGGCTGCTACACCACCTCACAGCTCATTTGAGCACCGAAGACAAAGAGACTTTTAGCGCTGTTCCCGAGTAGCACCCTATGAAGGCCGGAACGGTACACGAGGGGGTGGGTGGCCAGCACCACGCCCGACCGCCTTTGTCTCCCCAGTGGCAATGTTTACACACCGCACCAGGTACTCATTTGAGGCTGAGTCGACCGAGGGGAGGCCCGGGACCGGTTCAGATAAACGTCACTGGTGTTGGCCGTAAGCAGGAATCGAACCCGGGTCGCCAGGATCATAGCGCAGCGCGCTAACCGCTACACTCTCGCTCCCCACATACACACATACACAACAACAACCGCCATTCGCCACTAAGTGGTGGTGACGTCACCACGACGCTTGTGCCATGCCATGTGCACCTTGAGGCCACGTGAAGTGTCGAACGCCCGCTGGCAGGAGGTCACGGGGCAGACCCAAGTGCCACGGGTCGACTGACTAAGATGACTGAGTTGACTGGCTGATGCACCACCTGTGCCCCCTACTGTGCCAACCTGCTGTGCTTTAGCCACCCGGCGCTCCACTCGTTGTTGTGAGCGTCGCTCCTCCGCCCACCGTTGTTGTTGGAGGGCGACTGCCTCCAACTGCCCAGTAGCGTCCTTCACGAGCCTCCTCCACAGAGGCCGATCTTGACACCGCTGGTACCGTCATCGGCAAGTCCACTCAGCTCCACATCCTCCTGTACCACATCACTCCATCTCTTCTCTAGCCTGTGCCGCGCCCGTTTAGCCCCCTCGATCCGGCCGAACAAAAGCTGTTTCGGCATGCAGTGGCTGGGAATGCGGGCTACATGGCCCAGCCAACGCAGCCTTGCCTGCCGGAGGAGCTCACCGATGGGACCTTGTCCAGATCGTTCAAAGATTTGTGAGCTCCTCACACAATCCAGCCTGGTTAAACCCAGGATGGATCGTAGGCAGGCTAGCCTAAATGTTTCTAACTGGCGAAGATGTTCCATTAGGGGGGGTCCACGTTTCGCAAGCATAGAGAAGGGAGGGAATGATCGTCGCCGAGAAGACCCGAAGCTTAGTGCGGAGCGACAGACCATGTAGCTTCCACACAGCGTTACGCAACCGATGAAAAGATATTGCTGCTCGACTGATTCGGAGTGAGATCTCTGCTGTTAAACTGGAGCCGGTCATAAGCACACTGCCCAGGTATGGGAAACTCTCCACTCTCTCCACAACTGCCCCATCACCGATTGGGAGTTGTGGGGGTGGAGTGTCCGATGGTACAAAATACCCAGGCAGGTGCTTAGTTTTGGTGGGGCTGATGGTAAGGCCCCATCTCTTAGTGGCACGCTCCAGTCTCAGCAGCAGCGTCTCCAACTCCTCCTCTGAATGAGCAGCTATTACCAAATCATCGGCATACATAACGTGGTTGAGCAATATGGAGCAATCCCTTGACCGCACCCGGGCATCGATCAGCCTCCCATTATATCTGTACTAAATGGAGATTCTCCCGGTACAGCTATTGAAGGCTTCACGGACTACGTGGTAAAAATAGATGTTAAATAATGTGGGAGCCAGAGGACATCCCTGTCGCACCCCAAGGTGTACAGGGAATGGCTCTGACTCCCGGCCACGTAGTTTACCCGGGCCCGCACACCATCATGAAGGTCCTTCATGATTGTGAGCAGAGGGTCAGGGACTCCAAAAGCACGAAGAACAACCCATAGCCCAGGCGTACTGATGGTATCATAGGCCTTGACCAGGTCAATAAAGCAGAGATGTAGGTCTTGTTGGAATTCCCTACACCTCTGCTGTAGCAGGCGGACAGAAAATGTGGCATCTGTGCAGGACCGCCCTTTCCTGAAACCGCATTGGGGCTCCGCAAGCCTCTCCTCAGCGTGCCTGGCAAGGCGATGTTGAATAATCCTTGCCAGGACCTTTCCCGGCACACTGAGGAGTGAGATGCCCCTGTAGTTGTTACAGTCTGTGCTGTCCCCCTTCTTAAAGAGGCGGACCATCAGGGCATCCTTCCAATCCTGCGGAACCCGTCCAGTGGTCCAGACTGTTATGATGTCATATAGGGCAGTCTGTGCACAAACGCCACCCTCCCTCAGTATTTCGCTTGGGAGATCATCTCTACCCGGTGCCTTTCCTGGTCTCAGACTCCGGATCGCCTTCAGTACTTCCTCAACAGATGGCACCTCAGCCAGCCACTCACAGGGGGTGACTTCTTCCAATATTTGAGGCACTGCCTCAGCAGGGTCATCCCCACTTTGTGCCACGATGTTTTCCTGGCTGAGGAATTTCCCCTCCCCCAGGACCTCACAGAAATGCTCAGCAAATCTGCAAACCGGTTCCTGGGGATCGGAGATTGGATCACCGTTTTTTCCCATAATGATGGTAATACGTGTGGCACTGTAGGTTACTTTTTTGATGGAGTTAAATAGAGATTTGTGATCGCGGGCCACTGAGGCAGACTCCATCTCCTCAGCAACCCGTGACCACCACCCATCCTTGCAGCGCCTCACGGCTCTCCGAACCTCCGAGCGAAGGCTGCGGTAAGCCTCATCATTCTCTGACGTGGGATTCTGTAGCCGATGACAGTGGGCCTGTCTCTTTTTCTCAACCATCTTGAACACCTTCTCTGTCAGCCAGGGTCTCTGGAGAGGTCTGGACCGTGTACCCAAAGCAGCCATTGCAGCTGCATGAGTCACAGTCCTAAACCTCACCCATTTACCCTCTACATCAGGAGTGGGGAACGATGCCAACCCCAGCCGCAAGTGATGATGAAATGCGCGCTTGCAACTTTCATCAGATAACTGAGACCAGGCCACTTTAGGTTGGAATGGGGTCCTGGGTGTACACCCACCACCGGAGTTGAAGAATGGCAGGCGCATTTTACAGATGACTAGTCCATGGTCAGAGGGCAGATCAGCTCCAAGGTAAGTCCTGGTGTAAAGGACATGGGCTCGCATCTGCTGGTCCGTCACTATGTAGTCTGGCAGATGTTCTTGCTTGGACCCAGCATGCATCCATGATGTTGTGTGGATGCGCCGATGCCGGAACAGCGTGTTGATAATTACAAACCCATGGGCTGCACAAAAATCTAGCAGCCTCCTACCGTTGTTATTGAGCTGATCTGGCCCATGCCCTCCAATCACTCCAGACCAGGTGCCAGCATCATGACCAACTCGGGCATTGAAGTCACCCAACAAGATGACTCTATCCCGAGGGGCTACTTTAGCCAGTACCTGTGACAGGAGGTCATAGAAGGCATCTGACTCATCGACTTTGCCTGCATCCCTCCACGGATGTTCGTCTTCGGTGGGGGCATAAGTAACCACGACCACCACTCCTCGCCTCCGGTTGATGGGAAGGCGAGCCCAAAGTAGCCTGGGGCTTACAGCTTCCCACACCTCACCGCCACGCTCCCACGCCCCCTTCATTGTTTTGTTCAAAAGAAGAGCCACACCCTGTTTTTTGGCAGTCTGCTGCCCCGAGTAGAGGACTGTCCATCCCTCATGGTGGCAGGAGCCAGAACCGGTCCACCGGACCTCCTGAATGCCACAGAGATCCAGGCGGTACCGGTCCAGCTCCCGACATAGGAGTGGCAGCCTCTCCTCCGCAGTGAGCGTTCGAACATTCCACGTGGCCACACGAAGTGGCTTTTCGTTGTTTCTGGAGGAGCCCCGAGGGTAGAGA